TTCATATCCAATCTGTATCCTTGCCTTACATGTTATATATAAGTAGCATAGGCTGATAGGCATGGGAGGCTCAATCTATGATAATTTGTCTCTGGTTAGAAGTTTTGTTGTCTTTGTTAGTGTAGGGGTATTTCTATCTTTATACTTATGTTGAGGTTGTTGATCTGTAATATTATATTAGAACTAGTGTCCCTCACTTAAATAAGGGCACATGTGTCTTTTCCATTCTATTAATAATATAAAAACATGTATGGCCGAATGGGAGAGTTACTTTACCCTAATTCGAACCAGACTTTTCTTCTCTCTTTTTCTCCCCCTTTCTCTCTTTCTTCCCTCTTTCTTCCTCTTTCTTCTTGATTGTTATCAGACTAACAGAACTCAAAGGCAAACCGAATTATAACATGGTATCAGAGCCCAACTAAGCAACTCGGATCTGCCCAAATTTCTGTTCTGTGCGCACTCAATCTAGGGTTTTCCCTTGATTTCTCTACCATCGATTGGAGATAAGGGAAAGGGCTGAAAAGGAGTGGTCGCCCTCTTCCCTTGGAGGTTTCTATGCCTCCAGCTGTGTCTTGTGTGGTCGGTTGCTGTGGTTTCTAAGAAGCCCTCCCCTAATCGATGAAGAGAAGAAGGCTAATTCGTGTGGTGCAGTGGGTGTCTTGTGTGGACTGATTTTCTTCTCGTGTGGTTTGTCTTTCAAGTGATGAGGTAAGAGATTTCTGTGCATATTTTCTATTATAAATCAAATAGGAATTATGTTTCAAATCGTATGATGGAATTTCAGACTGTAGTGTACTAGAGTTTATGCTGTTTTATTGTGTGATTCGAAGGAGGAGTGGTGCTCATATAGTGGTGAGATTTCAGGTAGTCGTAGGGTAGGGTTTGTGGTGTAAAGAGTGCATCTTCAGCAATAACAAGTGTTGAAACCAGTGTGATCAAACAGTGTGCAGTGTACCGATTTCAGTGATAACAAAATTCAGCAATGGGAGATAACAGTGATAGCAAATCTAATGTGATGATRCCTRYTKWCTACCTRAATGTTYAAATGACCTCCATTAAACTGAATGGAGAGAATTATGTACCTTGGGCTAAATCTATAGAAGTTTTTCTGAAGGCAAAGAAGAAGGTGAAACACATAAGGGA